AAATGACTCAAACGTACACCATCAATGTTTAGACCTTTTTCCTCCCAGTCAAGCTGTTTGAATACATTTTCCAATGCTAAGGTAAAAAGCTTTGGAGAAATAGTATCACCTTGTCTAATACCTTTATCAAGGCGCATTTTTCCAGTTTTTTCGTCTTCATTGATTTTGATGTGGAATGTGGCCTGTTCATAAATGTTTTTAATGAGTGTAGTGTACCGTGAGTCTATTCAAGCATCCTTCAGGGCTGACAAAAAAGACCAAGTCTCAATACTATCGAAAGCCTTGTGAAAGTCGATAAATGCCATATGTAAAGGTACATTATATTCTGTGGTTTTTTCTGCTAGTTTTTTGATGGTTTGTAAGTGATCATTAGCGCCAAACCCTTTTCTAAATCCCGCCTGTTCAACCGGTTGATATAAATCAAGTTTTTGTGTTATGCGGTTGGTTATTATTCTTGTTAACAATTTGTATAATTGTGACAACAAACTTATAGGTCTGTAGTTTTCAATATTAGTAGTGTCTCCTTTCTTGTGTAAAAGTATTATTTCGGCGTTTTCCCATAGGCTGGGTATTCTTTTTTCTGTTACAAACATTATTGCAGTTAAAGTTTTGATATTTTGCTAGGTTTGGTTAGTCTTTGTTAGGGTAATGTAGGGTACTGAAAAGGTCGGTGTTACCAACTGGAAAATCAAAGCAAGTAATAGAGCGGAATGGCGTAGAGGTCGAGGCCCTTTAAGTGCTTTAGCACCATGATGATGATAGTTGGTATTTAATTTTGCATGATTACAAAGTACTTCTATAGTATAAGTACTAAAATAAAACCGAGTAAGTACCAATTTTGATGTCGTTTAAGATGAATATTAACTTTTTTTTAAAAGTAAGTTATTAAATTGAAAGGTAAAAGAAGCATAGTAGAAGACAATCACGGTTTTGCAAGCCATCAAACAAAATCACAGTATTACGTTTAAAAGGAATGGGAGCTAACCAAATTTTAAATCATCTACACTATCGCGACAATCTTTTTATTTTTGGACGTAGTGATAATCTGATCCATCCATTAGTTTGAGCTTCAGAAAATTTTATACTAAAATGACATCGCAAAATAGTTTCATAATTTTTAAAACGTGAAGAAATAAATGCAAATAAATTTTTTTGCTATTATAACAGCCCCCTCTTTTTATATCGTTTTATTTAGCTTTGTATTTAAGATGTTTAATGATCTTTAATATTTTTATAAAAAAAAATGAGTTTTAATTTCTTTATTAAAATTCTATTTCTTTAATTTTTTTATCTACCTATCTACGTGTATTTAGTCTAATTTTCTCCTGTTACTTCTTTATATTCCTGGTTGCATCATTCGTTTTTTGTTTTTTCTTTACTTAGAGGTAAGGGCCAAGTGCATCATTTAAAACAATAAAACAAAAAAGTCTGATATTTTCAGTTTTTAAAGTCAAAACGTTTTTAAAATAAAAATATTAATTTAACTCTATTTGATTATTGTCTACAAAAGAGCTAATGCAGCTAGATACGTTGCGCTCATTATTATATTTCGTTAAAAACTGTGAATCATCTATAATAATTATCAATTGTTATACATAATATCATGAATTGATACTGAGAACAATGATACAGGGAAAGCACATTTGTTCTTAATTATTAAATACCTTGTATTAAATATTTAATAATTAATGTTTGGAAGCTTTTTTAACTTACACGAAAAAGTAATACTACAATAAATGTTCGAAGTGACCGCCATCTACACTATTACATGCATTTATTTGACGAATTCAATTATTTTTAATATTGTAAGTATGTAAATTGTGTCACATTATTTTATCAGCATCAAAATTTCGTTGTTGTAATCTAACTTATGTTTCCATATCATCCTGGTTGTTGTATACTAATGTTTTTAAATGTCTCCAGAAACAAACATCCATAACATTGCATTCCCTCGTTCCCGGTGACCACACAACGTGTTCATTTCAATCAATCCAACGACAAGGATAAGTTAGTGATATCGTGAAAATTTTTAATATGTCTGGTGAAATGTGCTGCGGCCCCGTCATAAATAAATCAAAGTTTACAACATATTTGTAAAGGTACCTTTTTAAAAAGTATCCATAGAATATGTTGCAAAAAATTGAAGTAGGTTTCCCCATTCTATTTTCTAGGAAGTTCATAGGATCCAATCAGATGATTACCAATAATCTCAGCCAACTTTTTTTAAAAATTGGTCCTACGTATAACATGTGGGTTTTCGTTATTCCAGACGTGGCAATTGTGAAAGTTAAGCACCTTTTCTCGTTAAGCAAGGTTTATCTGTACCACTTTGCACGGAACTTCGGGTTGTATGGCTTCGGGTTCTGTGGCTATTTTGTTTTAAAACCATCTACGTAACCTTAATATTATTATTATCCAGATTTAGCCATACGGCTCACACTCCCTCTAAGGGGAAAATTCACTCATCCCAGATACCTACGGTATCAAAAGGATTGAGCTCTGGTGGGACTCTTTCCATGTTATCGAGTCCTAGGTGACTTGGTACGTCGGTGTATCTCCCAAAAATTTTCGCACGCATCTGGACGTCGAAAGTAGCACAGATTTCTGCATGATCTTATATAAATGTTCATTTAGACCCAGCTTTTTTATGTTTTCTAGTTATTATTATTATCCCAGATTTAGCCATACGGCTCACACTCCCTCTAAGGGGAAAATTCACTCATCCCAGATACCTACGGTATCAAAAGGATTATTATTATTATTATATAACAAATACGGGCAGAGGAGCGAGCTCCTATTATGCCCAAAAAGCAAAAATAAACAAAAATAAAATAGATCTTTATAAAACTAATAATAATTATAAAGTTAAGTAGTTAAACAATTAACGAAAATTGAATTGTGACACAATAAATAAATAAATAATGCTGTCCGAGAAAAAATATTCTATCCTATAAAAAAATAAAGTGCTACCAAGTTTATTTTTAAAAATGTTAACACTAGCTGCCGATATGGTGTCTTGATCCAAATTGTTCCAGATATTAAAGATTCTGTTTGGCAAGAAGTTCGCCCTGGACCGTGCAGTAGTTTGTTCCCTCTTTAATTTGTATCGATGGCCTCTTAATCTATCGTCTTTATTCAAAGTGAATACGGTGTTTAGGTTCCCAAAATTATGTTTTAAAATACGGAAGGACATATTAGGTCACCTCGAAGACGTCGCTGCTCGAATGCCGTAAGATGAGCCATGAATAGTCTATCTTCATAGTTAGGTCTTACACGGCCGAATGCCAGTCTTGTGGCTTTACGCTGAATGTTTTCAAGTAGGATTTTATCGCGACTAAGATCTGGATTCCACACTGGTCCGGCAAACTCAAGAATAAAACACTTACGGATCAAAAACAGTTTCGAGTTAGCACGTTTACACACCGACACTATGTGATCAGACCAATTTAAGTCACTATTAATTATCACTCCGAGATCGTTGTGTGAGGTTACAGAGTTTAAAGGATGTCCATTAATAAAGTACGGTAGTGATGGGTTATTTTTGCCGATATGTAAAACAACGCATTTTTCAATGTTAAGCGGAAGTAACCATTCTGAGGACCATTTGAATATTGCGTCAAGATCTTGTTGAAGAATATATTGGTTAATAGTTGGATTCACATATAACTTAGTGTCATCAGCGTAAATGGAAATCTTACTGGATACAATGACCGGAAGATCCCTAGTGTAGACACAAAAAAGTAGCGGTCCAAGTACTGATCCTTGTGGAACTCCACTCTTGACTGGCTTATCTATTTAAAGTAAATTGTCTTGGTGTAAATCTGGTACTCGTTGGTAATGATAAAGATGTAATAGTGGTTGGTAAATGTCTTATAAACACTGATTTTAGAAATGCCAACCATTCTAGCCAAAGATCGGGTACTTACTCTTGGATTATTACTGACTATATCCAAAATCGCTTCTTCTAAATTTATTTTATGGTTACTTCGAATTCTAATTATACCAAGGAAAGCAATGGTGGCGACTGTATTTGCTTTTCTGTGGAAAATAATTAATAGGATTAAAATTATTTTTTTTTTGAAAACGGTTGACTTTACAAAAAAAATATTGTAAGAATTGTTTGTACTAGTTATAAAATATTAAATCGTAAATAAAATAGAAAATTTTTAGGTTAAAATAAATAAAAAATTACCTCGTTCATTTCATCTTTCAAGAGTGATCAGTTTTAATATCTGATTTTACCAAGTGCAATGAAAAACAACATGGAATCAAAGGAAATAACAAATGTTTCAAAAAAAGTATAAATAATGTTGTTTTATAATAGGAACTTGCAAAGCACTCCTCGTATTATTCACTTCTTGAAGTAGCGACAAATTGCACGGTGGATGCGGTAGAACGGCACACTTACTTTGATAAACGAACTCATAGTAAAGATAATATTGTCGCTGACACAAAGTAGCAACGTCTTGTCAGGTATAATGTAAAGGATTTGTTGTAGACACTCACACTAGAGTGTACCTAGAGAATAAATGACATTAAGGGACACATTTACATTAAATTTGCGAATCTCTATTCTTAACGTTAAGTAAAAATTTAAACGATATTTAAGCTACCTTTTGTTTTGTCATGGCATTAAACTTTCATTCAGTCATTAACAAACTATTTTTGGCAATTTTCTGAAGAATGCAATCTTTATAATTCAAGCTGAGATTAACAGATTTTTTGTTACCATTCTTCTTTTTAGTTGGTCTCATTTAAAATTTGTGCCCTTAATAAAATGTTACATTATTCCCAACCAAAAGTTTCTTTGCTAACAAAATAGTTAGATTCTTAACAAAATTATCATTCCTATTATTGGTACATTTTTGTTCTATTACTAGATTTTACAGTCAGTTTATAAAATTAAAAACAAATAAGTAAAAATAAAAATAATAACTACTGTCCTAATTTTAATAGACTAACAATAAAATTTGAATATAGAGATCGAAAAATGGGTCCTTAATCTAGTTTCTTCTTCTCTTCTTCGAGTGCCATATCAGAACTATCCAACGTTGGCGATCACCATTGCGAAGGCTTGTCGATCTTCTGTAATATGGAATAATTGTCATGCATTTGGTATCTGAGTCCATTCACGAATGTTTTTTTACCAAGAAACTTGTTGTCTTCCTATGTTCTCGGACGCGACTAGTTCACGTTCGAGACGCATCGCCACGCCCCTTATTTTTCCCGTTGGCCCCTCCCTGACCTGGAAATCCCTAATCGCTACTTTAGAAAGTATAAAAATAGGCGATTTTCAGGTCAATCAAGTCAGTCCTTCACGGGCTCTCCGAGAGCTCGGGGCTCTGCTTCCTTTTTAGCTTTTCATACTCTGTGGCTGAGTATTTTATTTCAACAATATTTAGTGTTTTATTTCGACTATTTAGTCGTGTAAGAAATATCTTGCCTTTGTCAAGGCAAGCCACCATAGACTGCATCCTGATGTTTATTTCGACTCATAAGTCATGTAAGAAATAGCTCGTCTTTTTCAAGACGAGCTCATCAGAAGAGAACCTTTTACGAATCCATACCTCGCAAATGGATTCAAGTAGAGGGGCTTTCGTCGACGTTTCCGAAGCCCTCTACAGAGCACACGGTGGTACCGAAGGTGGCAAGACCCTTTCCATTTACCCCGAGGTGACATGGCGCCCAACAAAATGGATTATTCCGATCCCACGACCCAGCTCAACTCGCAGCAGAAGGCAGCACACCATTGACTTCAACATGGGTTGAAGTCAAGAGAAGAATGGGGAGAACCACGGAGTGTTAGCTAACACTCCGACATCGAGGCCTTCTGCAGACCGGATGCCTTCGACGTGCAGGCGCCTTTGACGAGCCAGTCTTCTTCGAAGTTAGAAGCCCCAGATGCCGATGAAAGTCCCGGAGTAGACCCAGTCATCGCCCCCCTACCGAAAGTGGTTGGACGACCACGTAGGCTTCGGCACACTGGTACCCTACGAAACCCCGTCGGATATGGCAGATGGGATCCGGACGACCGAGAAGAAGACGAACCCGTCGAAGAAGTTGGTACACCGATCGAGGATGGACCTGTAGGAGCCGGAGATGCCGTCAACACCACCGACCTCTCTATTAGTGCTGTGCTGTGAGTTCAAAGACATTTATTTTACTTTATTTACATTTTCGTGTATTTTCTTTGATATATTTCACGCATTTTATGTATTTTTCTTACCATTGTAAAATTTTGGTATTCAATAAATTTTTTTCCCAGCCACAGAGTCTCCAGAGGAGGGGGGATGTTCTCGGACGCGACTAGTTCACGTTCGAGACGCATCGCCACGCCCCTTATTTTTCCCGTTGGCCCCTCCCTGACCTGGAAATCCCTAATCGCTACTTTAGAAAGTATAAAAATAGGCGATTTTCAGGTCAATCAAGTCAGTCCTTCACGGGCTCTCCGAGAGCTCGGGGCTCTGCTTCCTTTTTAGCTTTTCATACTCTGTGGCTGAGTATTTTATTTCAACAATATTTAGTGTTTTATTTCGACTATTTAGTCGTGTAAGAAATATCTTGCCTTTGTCAAGGCAAGCCACCATAGACTGCATCCTGATGTTTATTTCGACTCATAAGTCATGTAAGAAATAGCTCGTCTTTTTCAAGATGAGCTCATCAGAAGAGAACCTTTTACGAATCCATACCTCGCAAATGGATTCAAGTAGAGGGGCTTTCGTCGACGTTTCCGAAGCCCTCTATAGAGCACACGGTGGTACCGAAGGTGGCAAGACCCTTTCCATTTACCCCGAGGTGACACCTATACCTCCACGGCACTCTATTTTGCCTTTAAGGATCAGTTGTAAAATTTTATACCGACTTCCCCTTACTATATGTCCCAGATAAGACATTTTTCGATGTTTAACAGTCTTTATCAGTTCTCTGTCTTTGTTTACGCTCCTTAGTACTTCTTCATTAGTTTTTCTTGCTGTCCAAGGTATCTTTAGCATTCGTCTATGAACCCACATTTCCAATGCTTTAATTTTGTTCATGATCGATACTTTTAGCATCCACACTTCTGCACTATACAAAAGTACAGCCAAACATAACATGTAACCATTCTTTGCCTTAGTTCTAAACTGAGATGGTGATTGCAAAGAAAAGTAGTTTTAGTCATTGCTATTCTACGTTTTATTTCTATGTCTGGATCTAGTTGGTCCGTTATCACAGTTCCCAAATATGTTCAATTAAAGCTTTGCATCAGGATGTGGGTCACCACAAAACACTAAAAATTTGGTTTTGTTTGAGTTTATTTTAATGCCCATTTCCTCTCCTAACTCGTGAATACGATCAAGCAGAATTTGAAGACCTTCAATATTATCTTATAGAATTACTGTATCGTCTGCATATCCAATCACATTAAGTAGTTCCCCGTTGATTTTTATTCCATATGGTTGTCTCTCAAGTGCCTTTTTAAATAGCTGGTCCGAATTAACATTAAACAATGTTGGCGACAAAATGGGGAACATTTAACAAATGACAAAATTTCATCGGTGTAGTTATCCCCAATTTTTACGATAGCAGTTTGATTCCTGTACAAATTTTTAATGACACGAATATCCTTGTCATTTTATTCCGATATTTTTCACTATTTGCATTAATTTTACATACTGTACTTTATCGAATGCCTTTTCGAAGTCCACAAAACTTGCAAATACATATTTTCTTTGGTCACGGCATTTTTGTAATAGGATGTTTAGCACAAAAAGTGCCTCCCTGTTTCCCATAGCATTTCTAAAACCAAATTGGGTATCTTCAAGATCTTCTTCGCATTTGCGTCTAATTCTGTTGTGAAGTATGCTGAGGAAAATTTTAAGAGTGTGGCTCATTCGGCTAATTAATCGATATTCTAAGCATTTTCTTGCATTGTGTTTTTTAGGTATTGCGATAAAGATGGATTTGAGCCAATCTGCGGGAATCACTCCGCTGTTATATATTGCATTAAAAAGTCTTACTACTTTTATATTATCATTCTCTATTAGTTTCAGCAACTCAGTTGGTGTATCATCTGGACCACAAGCTTTTCTAATTTTAGCATTATTTATAGCATGTTCTACTTCGCATTTCATAATTTCTGTGCTGTCAAGTGTCAGTACAGTTTTGGTAGAATTCAACAATATTAATCCTGTCATCTTCAAACAACTCTGATATTTACAGCTGCCATTCTTTTCTTATTTCTTGCTCATTTACAATAATTTTGTTTACATTGTAAAAAAATAATCTAGTTTACATTGTAAAAACGAACTATGAATCCTATCCCTAATGTCATTGTCAATGAAACAGTCAATTGTTGCTTTCGGCATCTTAAGTTAGTTAGCAAGCTCCAGTTCTACAGTTGGAATGTAGAAATAATTTTTTTCGAGTAGGGACTTATGGTTCCCGGCTAGTAATACATATACATATGTGTGTTTTGTTGATTACCAGAAAGCGTTCGGTAGAATAAAACATGGCGAACTTATGAAAATATTAAATTTAATTGGTCTAGACAGCATAGATCGCCTTATAATAAACAATATCTATTACGAACAAACTGCAGCTATTAGAGTCGGGAATCAGTTAACAGACGACATAAAGATAAAAAGAGGTGTACGACAGGGACGTATATTGTCCCCATTATTATTCAATACATATTCAGGGCACATTATGAACTTAGCGCTAACGGATAAAGACGAGGGAATACTTATAAACGGCGAACGATTAAACAACATAAAGTACGCTGATGATACTGTCATTTTTGTAGACCGTCTTGAAGAGACACTTGTCTCCAGAGTGGCAGAAGTAAGTAGCAGGTTTGGGCTTGATTTTAATATCAAAACGCGAACTAGTCGTTATCATAAAACGTAACCAAACTGGAATATCTGGGCCATAGAATGTGCAATGAACAACGATATGACCTACTTCGGACCATACTTCAAGGTCAACTACATGGGAAAAGAGGTCCGGGACGAAGAAGAATATCCTGGCTGCATAACGTGCGAAAATGGTTTGACTTAACTACTACCGCACTTTTCAGGGCAGCAGTCAACAATGTCAGAATAGCCATGTTAGTGTAGAACATCCATAACGGATAGGAACCATAAGAAGAAGAATATGGATTGACTAGTCCGAAAACTTTCTGAACTTTAATATAATTTATTGGGTTTTTTTATTTAAATTTTTTAATTAAATAAACCACTTTCAACACAAGTTTTTAGCTTCGATGTTCGAATTTTTAACTAATATGGTATACAGCCATCTCCTGGACCCTAAATGTTAATGCGGAATTAAAATACTAATAGTATATTATATCTTACCGTTATAATCTATATTTATTTTTCAAACGTTTGTATTAAACGTAAAATTTTAGCATTCCAATAGAGAATTATAAAATATATCCATAGTTACATAATCATAGAACCCTTTTAACCTTCAACCTAACAATAATACGGCGAAAGTTCTAAATGGAAATTTCCGATTATTTAAACTGTTTTGAAGAAAACGAGACTGGACTGGAATACATTTCCATTTTCCTTTTATAATAGCAAGTCGGCGCTGAAAACATAGATGAAAATCATGGAAAACGCTCGGGTAAATTCAGGTAAATGCATGTTTACAGGAAAACAAAAATGCTTACTACAAATATGTAAATATTTTGTGTTGTTTCTAATACACAAAAGAACACAAGTTCTCTGATTATCTAACCTGTTACTACAGAACTGTTGAATTATTATTCTAAAAAAATAATATAAAGTTAAATACTAAATAAAATAACAAAAAGATACATATTTACAATAATTATATAAAATTACAATACCATTTTTTAATTTGTGTTTTAACTGATTGAATTTAATTTTTTAAAGATTTTTGGAAAAAATTTTGGACGTCTTTTGTCTGAATTGGTCATTATCAATGGGTATTTTTCAAATTATTTACTGAGCTAATATATCATATATTTAAAGTTATGGAAAAACTATTTTGCTTGAAGAAAAAGGTTTACAACCAACCAATGCGAACTGCGAGTAATAACATATGGTTCCGAAACAATAACGTTAACCAAACATTCTGCAAATAAATTGAGAGTAACTCAAAGAAAAATGGAAAGGGCAATGTTGGGAATAACTAGAAGAGATATGGTACCAAATAGGATAGTGAAAGAGAGGACTAAAGTGACAGATGTCATAGAAAAAATTGCATAAGCGAAATGGAGATGGGCTAGACATATAGAACGTTTAAATGATAATAGGTGGACCAAAAGACTCATAGAATGGAGACCTAGAGAAGACAAAAGACACCGAGGCAGACCACCAAAAAGATGGATGGACGACTTGAGAAAAACAGTCGGAAATTGGATACAGAAGGCGCAAGATAGAGAACAGTGGAAGAACATGGAGAAGACCTATATCCAACAGTGGATGCAAGAGGTTGAGGAATGATGATGATGATGATGGAAAAACTATAGCTGTAAAACAAAGAAGTTAAATTGATTACGCGCACAACTGACATTAAAAATCGCGGGTCGCTTCATTGAGAGAAATGTTTATTGTACGCCAAAAAGGGCTAAGAAATATATGTTTATTCAAAATTACCTCAGATACATTTTTTATTTCTTTCCCGTGTCAGTTATTTTGTCGTTTCCCGCTGGTTCAGAGTCCTTGTCTAGCTTCCATACGTTATTGTGGAACGAATTATTGTCTTATACATTTTTGTTTTTGCTGGTATTGAGAGTATTTTTGATTTAAGTATGGTTATTAATGAGGTTATTAATGGGACTATTATAATAATATGCCCTGTTTGCTGCAATGATCCTGGCTGCCATGTCCTTTTTATACTTATTTTCAGATGTTATAATCGCTCCCAGGTACTTAAATTCTTTGACGACTTCAAAGTTGTATTCATTAATTGTTACGTTTTGTTTACCCCTTGGCCTTGGATTCTTCGTAATCAGCATGTACTTGGTCTTGTCCTCGTTGACCATCAGACCAGCTGCCTTGGCTCCGTTTTCGAATAGGGTGAACTTCTTTTTCATCTCTGGCGGATTGTGCAATTGTGCCCACGTCATCCGCAAACGCCAATAGTATTTTTGATCTCTGGGCGACATATCCGTTTGTCAGTTGTGGTTGAGCTTTCCTAACCGCATGTTTCAGTGCAAAATTAAATAGCAGGGGGGCGAGAGGATCTCCTTATATCTAAGCCCAGTGCCAATGAGCAATTCCTCCGACGTTGTGCTGCTAATTCTGATTTGTGCGAAAGCGTTCTCTGTGCTCACTTGTGCTAATCGTACTAGCTTTTCAGGTACTCCAATTTCTACCGTGGTCTCCAACAATGCTTGTTTAAAGTCCACGAAGATTTGGTGTACATCGCAGTTGAATTCCCAATTTTTTTAAACACCTGGCGAAGGACGAATATCTGGTCTATAGTCGACCTTCTTGGTATGAATCCGCTTTGGTAGTTGCATAATATTTTCTCTGCGTAAGCAGTTAGTCTTCTAGACAGTATTATAGATATAATTTTGTACGTTGTATTGATTAACAATATTCCCCTATAGTTCCGACATATTTGTTTGTCTTCCTTCTTGTGGATGTGTACTATATGGCTTTTATGCCATATATGGCATCAAAAACAGGAAAACATAAAGCAAGTAATGAACAAAGCAGCAAAAGAATGTAATAACCAAGAGAATAAAAAAAGGGCAAACCGATTCCACATAGAGTGCCAAAAAGAAATAGAACGAAGAAAGTCATTAAAAATTGAAATGATCACGAAAGAAACAACAGAGACAAAGAATAGATATATGGAGTAACGACAAAAAGTAAAGAGGGTGCTGAGAGAAAATCACAGAAAACACATAGAAAATAAGCTAAAATAAATAGAAAAAATTACAGAAATAAAGAAATAAAAAACCTATATCAAGATGCTAGAAATGAAAAAAGAGGTTTCCAACAAAAACTCATATTCGTTAAAAACATAGCAGTAAATAACATTAGCGGTGAAGCAGAAATAGTTGAAAGATACAAAGAGTAATTGATGAATTTTTAAATGGCAATAATAAGTCAAACTAAAGACAATGTATAAAACCAGAAGCAAGAATCGAACACTTAGAAGACATAAAAGATAATTTACCTAGCAAAGAACAAAACAAGGAAATCATAAAAAATCTGAAAAACAATAAATGCCTTGGAAGCGATAACATAACAGGAGAGATAATAAAATATGGTGGAAAACTGCTAAATGACTGGATATACAAGATCATAAAGGAGATACGGATAAAAGAACGAATACCAGAAGATTGGAAGGAAGCAATTATTTGCCCATTACACAAAAAAGAGACAAAACAGAATGTAGTAATTACAGAGGAGTAGCGTTACTAAATACCCTATATAAAATCCTATCAAAATTTATAAAAGATAAGCTCGAAAAAGAAGTTGAAAATATAATAGGCGAATATCAGTGCGGATCTAGACGAGGGAGAAGCACAACGGACCAAGTATTCGTAATTAGAGAATTACCAGCAGAAAGCTATGAACGCAACTTACCAACGATAGCGCTATTCATCGACTTCCAGCAAGCATACGATAGAATAAAGAAGGAATTAAAAGAAACCCTTGAGTAAATCGCTTTAGCAAAAAGTTGCGTAACATGGTACATATTACTTTGGAGAATACAGAAAACAGAGTCAATCATTCATCGGACAAATTT